GCCCCCAAATTTTAAATTCTGATGAAGTATTCTGGTTCTTCGACTAAGATGGGTAGTTTCTCTGTAGTTTTGCTGCCTTGGGGCCTCATGCTAAACGCCATAAAATAACTGGCATATTGCCCAAGGCTTTTTTTCAAGTGTTAACTTCCTGCTCACATCTGTCTGCTATTGGTTGCCTGTCAGTACCTGTAGGAAGTTGTCCAGACTTAATAGTTGTTTTCTTCAGCAAGGCTGATCTAAAAAGGATCTATTCAGTCATTTGCAAGTCTTTGTATTTACTTTTTAAAGTAGGCTCCACTCCCAACATGGGGCTTGAACTCACAACCCTGAGATCAAGGCGTCCCGATTTCCGAGTCTTTATATTTGAAAATTTGGCCTTTCAGCAGTGTCTGGGTGGCACAATCAGTTAGGTGTCTGATTCTTGGATTTTGTTTCAGGCCCTGATCTCAGGGTCATGGGATCAAGCCCCACGTGGGGCTCCTTGCTCGGCACTGAGTCTGCTTGAGAGTCTCTTTCCTTCTTCTCCTCCCACTCGTGCTCTCTCTCTCTCTAAAATAAATAAATACATCTTTCAAAAAAAAATTTTTTTTGGCCTTTCAGGGGTGCCTGGGTGGCTCAGTCGCTACAGCATGCAGCTCTTGATCTCATAGTTGTGAGTTCAAGCCCCACGTTGGGTGTAACTTAAATAAATAAATTTTAAAAATTTTAAATTAAAAAATTGGCCTTTCACCTTTTTTTAAGATTTTATTTATTTTTATGTTTTGTGTTTTTTTAAAAGATTTATTTATTTATTTTTGAGAGAGAGACAGTGGAGGGAAGGGCAGAGAATCCCCAGGCCAACCCCTTGCTGAGAGCAGAGCCTGACACAGGGCTTGATCCCACGACCCATGAGATCATGACCCAAGCTGAAACCAAGAGTCAGATGTCTACCTGACTAAGCCACCCAAGCACCCCTACTTATTTATTTTTATTTTTATTTTTTTAAATTTTTGTTCTCTTAACGATTTCTTTGAGAGAGAGAGAGCACATGAGCAGGGAGAGGGCCAGAGGGAGAAGGAAGGAGGCAGGTTCCCTGCTGAGTATGGAGTCTGATGCTTGGCTCCATCTCAGGACCCTTAGATCATGACCTGAGCCAAAACCAAAAGTCAGACACTTTATTTATTAGAGAGAGAGCGAGCGAGCATGGGAGCAGGGGAGGGGCAGAGGGAGAGGGAGACAGAGAATCCCAAGCAGACTCCATGCTGAGCGGGGAGCCCGACTCGGGGCTCAATCCCATGACCCCGAGATCACCCTCCAAGCCGAAATCATGAGTCACATGTCCAACCACCGACTCACCCAGGCGCCCCTATTCCACACTTTCTTAATTATTATTACTTTATAATAAGTCTTAATAGTTGGTAGTACAATTGTTTGCACCCTGTTCTTTTATTGAGTATCTTTGGCCCTTGGCTCTTCTATTTTATATTTTATAATTTTCTCCATAAAGTTTTTATACATTTTTTGTTATATTTACTCCTGAGTTGCTTATAATTTTCCTTGCTCTTGTCCATACTATCTTTGTGGGACTTAGATTTTTCTGTATATATGCATTTTTGGAGGGGTGCCTGGCTGGTTCAGTCGGTGGAGCATGGGATTCTTGATCTCTGGCTTATGAGTTTGAGCCCCGTATTGGGTGTAGAGATTACTTAATAAAAATCTTTTAAAAAGTAATATATTTTTTTCTGAACCATTTGAAAGTAAGTTGTAGACAAACCCCTTTATTCCTAAATACTTCAGTGAGTATTTCCTAAAAACAAGAACATTCTCTTACATGACCACAGTACAAGTACCTAAACCAGAAAATTAATATCGATGCTATACTATTATCTAATTTTTATTTCTTTCAAATTGCACCAATTGTCCCTATAGAAAAGGAGGAAGAAAACTTTTTTTTTTTCCTCCCTGATCCATACATACTACTTAGTTGCTATTTTTCTTTACTCTCCTTTGATCTGGAACAAGTCTTCAGTCTTTATCTTTTAAGACCTTGTTATTTTTTTTTTTAAGATTTTATTTGTTTATTTGAGAGAGAGAATGAAATAGAGAGAGCATGAAAGGGGGGAGGGCCAGAGGGAGAAGCAGACTCCCCGCTGAGCAGGGAGCCCGATGCGGGGCTCAATCCCAGGACTCCAGGATCATGACCTGAGCTGAAGGCAGTCGCTTAACCAACTGAGCCACCCAGGTGCCTGTCGACCTTGTTATTTTTTGAAGAGTACAGTTGAGTTGTTTCTGGAATGTCCTTCAATTTGTCTGATGTTTGCTGTTTTCTGATACATACTGTCAGACTCTGTGTTTTTGGCAGAATGCCGCATTGTATCTTCTTAGTATATCACATCAGAGGCACATAAAATCTGTTTAGCACACTGCTGGTGATATTAACTTTGATCACTTGATTCAGGCAATGTTTACCAGATTTCCCATTATAAACTTTAACTGTTTTTTCTCTTTGTAATTAATATGCATCTTGATTCAATTTTTTAAAAAATAGTTGTAGGACCATTAAGGTTTTTGTTTTCATATTGAATCAGTTTTTGGTAAGACCTGTGATGGCACCGATGTCTTCAGGGGATCATTTGATTTTTACAATTATGAATGAGAGAGCGGAGACAGAGGAGTAAAAAGAGGCCAGTTGGAGATTCCCACCTCGATGCTGACCACAAAGCTCTAAGACACTTTTGTTTTTACTGGCAAGTTTGCAATTACCCCTTTTCGCCACTAGATGGAAGTGCTAACAGAATTTGTAACGATGTTTCAGGCTGATGAAATAATAGAACTAAATTTTTTTTTTTAATTTTAAATTTTATTTTAAGTAGGCTTCACACCCAATGTGGGGCTTGAACTCATGACCCAAGATCAAGAGTCTCATGCTCCAATGACTGAGCCAGCCAGGCACCCCAGTTGAACTGAATTTTATAGTGATTCTACCTGTGTGACTGGGTAATATTCTTCTGTACCATACTGTGCAGTACGTCTGTACTGTAAATGATTATATCTCATTAAATATATTTATTATTTTTTTTAAAAAAATTTTATTTATTTATTAGAGAGAGAGCGCACAAGTGCACAAGCAGAAGGAGAGGCAGAGGGAGAGGGAAAGGAAGAAGCAGTTTCCCCGCTGAGCAGGGAGCCTGAAGCGGGACTGGATCCCAAGACCCTGGGATCATGACCTGAGCTGAAGGCAGACGCTTAACCAACTGAGCCACCCAGGTGCCCCACATTAAATATATTTATGAAATAATGATGAACATGATACATCAAAGGCTTATCGGTAGTAAAATAGAGACAAATTTGACAGGTTTTTAAAAAATATCTGCAAGGGATGCCTGGGTGCTCAGTCGGTGAGGCATCTGACTCTTGATCTTAGCTCAGGTCTCGATCTCAGGATCCTGAGGTAAAGCCCTGCATTGGGCTCCATGCTGGGTGTGTAGTCTACTTAAAAAAAAAATATCTGCAAGACAGTAGCTGAAAGCTAGATAATTAACATGCAGTAGAAATTTATCTTTGAATTACCTGGAGTCAAGAATAATTTGGATTATCTGGGGTCCCTAATGCACTAGAGTTTATAACAGACCATATTGTGTTGACTTTTCCTAGCATGAACAGGGCTCAGTGATGATGTTTGAGCACCTAGTTAATTCTAATGGACTCAAAGAAGTCATGGAATACTATGGTCTCATCCCTGAAGAAGACATTTGCTTTATCAAGGAACAAATTACAGGACCACTTGAATCACCAATCAAAGATTCTTCGGTAAGTTCGTGTACAACTTAATTTGAATTGACTGTGTTTCCCATCTAGTCTTTCCTAGTTTCCTTCAGAGCTATATGAAGAGACACATTTGGCTATTTTAAGGAGACTAAATGATAAAATACATTATATGTTTCTACTGTTTAATACCAAAAAAATGAAAGGCTTATCTATTTTTTTATCTCTTAACTGAGATCTTTAGAAGTTACCCCCCAAATTAAAATACATATGTAAATATTTTTTGGTGGATAGATATGCAGTATTCTACATAGGAGTCGGAGGTAATGTCATTTGGAAAACGTAAAAGTATGTGTCTTGTTTCCCCATTAAAATTAACATGTTTGAGTGCTGGGGGGAATGGTGTGAGGGAATGGGAAGTGGGGGGGAGGGAAAAATGAGAGGGGGCAGGACTCAGAAAAGGAAATTTAAAAAAGAGAAAAAAATAAAATGATAAAAAAAAATAGCATCTGAAATATTTAGATATATGAAGACCTAGAAAAAAAGTTGAATAGTTCAAAGGAAAATCTCTTTTGTTTTTTTGTTTGTTTAATTAAAAAGAAGTTGAGGGGCGCCTGGGTGACTTGGTTGATTACGTGTCCAACTCTTGGTTTTGGCTCCGGTCATGATCTCAGGGTTCTGAGATTGAGCCCCATGTCAGGCTCTGTGCTGGGCATGGAGCCTACTTGGGATTCTCTCTCTCCTCCATCTGCCCCTCCCCCCCAGATAGATAGATAAATGATAGATAGGTAGATAGATAGACAGATAAATGGGGCACCTGGGTGGCTCAGTTGGTTAAGCATCTGCCTTCTGCTCAGGTCATGATCCCAGGGTTCTGGGATCAAGCCCCACTTGGGGCTCCCTGCTCAGCAGGAAGTCTGCTTCTTCCTCTGCCTCTCCTCCTGCTCATGCTCGCTCTCAAATAAATAAATAAAATACTTAAAAAAAATAAATAATAAAAAAGAAGTTGAAAAATAATTCACCTCTAAATTTTTTTTCCTTGAATAAAATTACAAATCTAAAAACAAGATATAAAATGAAGAGCTGGATTTTGAAGCAAATACTCTATTTCCAAAATATGGGAGCTTCAAAAAAATTTTTTTTTAAGATTT